TTGTAGGAACCTAAATGCTGAAGTGGAAGTTCAGGCCGTCCATGTTTTACAGAACTTCGCTTTACAGCATTTCTCTAATACAGCAGTTTTTAATTATATCCATTCTTCATTTATTCAGACTTTCGAAACGTCGTCGTAAGCTCCTCTCTTCTATGTGCGGGTTATTTGTGTATCATTCCAGTCACGGTATTGTGCCTTTTTTTATTCCTAAAATAAATATATTTTTCACTCACTAAGGTAAGGATGAAAATATTTTAAAGTAAATAATGTTCAAAGTCCAAACTACATTTCTCACTTAATATTTTTTTATTATCACACTGGCCGATTCCCACCGAGGCAGGGTGGCCCGAAAAAGAAAAACTTTCGCCATCATTCACTCCATCACTGTCTTGCCAGAAGGGTGCTTTACACTACAGTTTTTAAACTGCAACATTAACACCCCTCCTTCAGAGTGCAGGCACTGTACTTCCCATCTCCAGGATCAACCCGGCCTCCCGTTTCCCCTAAACCCCCTTCATAAATGTTATTTTGCTCACCCCCAAAAGCAGTCAAGTTTTAAAAAAAACCATTTGTCTCCATTCCCCTATAAACACGCTCACGATGCGCTGGAAGCCCAAGCCCCTCAAACCAAACCCCTTTACCCCTTCCCCAACCTTTCCTAGGCCGACCCCTACCCCGCCTTCCTTTCTACAACTGATACACTTTGAAGCATTCTGTTTGCCCCATTCCTCTACATGTCCGAACCCCTAACAACCCCCTCACCCTTGGACAACGTTTTGGTTAAACCCGCACCTCCTCTAAATTCCAAACTACGAATTTTTCCCGCATTATATTACACCACCATTGCCCTCGAATGAATTTTACTGCCTCCGCCTTCTCCTCGCTGCAAAATTCATCCCCCGGTTCAACCCATATAAGAGCGTTGGGAAAACTAACCTAACATTCCCCTCTTTTCCCCCAAGGCAAAGTTCTTTGTCTCCACGACCCTAAGTGCACCATCCTCTTTTCCCCTCACAATTCATGATTCACCTCATCTTTCATAACCCCTCCGCCCAATCCACTCCCAAATATCGGGGAAAAATTCACCCCTCCCAAATCTCTCCCCCCAAATTTATATTCAATCTTTCATCCCTAATCTTTTTTTTATCCTCTAAAAAATTACTCTTTTTCCTGTTTCCTTTCAATTTTTTTCTTTTACTTTTCCCCTACCAAATTTCATCCACCAAACTCTGAACTTCTCTTAGAAACTCCCAGGCACAGTGTCATAGCAAAAAGCAGCTGTGACAACTCCCACTTTGTGTGTGATTCTTTATCTTTTAACTCCACGCCTCTTGCCAAGACCCCCGCATTTACCTTTCCCTTTCAACCCCCTCTATAAATATATTAAAAAACACGTGACATCACACATCCTTGTCTAAGGCTACTTTTATGGGAAAAATTTCCCTTTTACATACTCAAATTGAGCCTCACTATCCTCACTTTAAAATATGATATTGTAAATTGTTATCAACTTGCATATTTGAAGTAAAAGGGGCCTTCCTGAAATTTACAGGATAGGGGAAAAAAAAAAAAACCAAACCCCGCTGTATAAGTGAGGCCTTCCTTAATTTTTCAGCATAGCCGGGGAACCTAACCTTGATAAGTGAGGCCCTTTCCCTGCGATAAGTGAGGTTCCTGCTGTATAAGTGGGGCCCTTCCGCTTTAAGTGAGGCCTTCCTGCTGTAAAAATGAGGCCTTCCTGTAATGATATAGAGGTTAGTTAAATTTGGGGGGCCGGGGGTGAGACATGCTAGTTTTACAGAGTGTAAAGTGGGTTTTAAAGTTGTGCTTATTTGGAGATGAGGAGGATTATATTTCTGAGGGGTTCGGAAACCATTTTGCCAGACTGGCCCTAAAGGAGAAAGTAGGTGCCTCCCTTTTGAAGTTGGGGTGGTATGTTAAATTCATTGTCAAAATTTGTAATTGGGGGGTTACTTTCCCCCACAAAGTTTATATAAAAAGATATGAGTTTATTTTGTTTGGCCTCCCTGCCCTTTTGCTGGATGTGTTTACTGTAAACAAAAAAACTTTTTACTAAAATTTTAAAAAAATTTCCATATCTTTCTACTGTACACTGATACTAGATCTACAAGGATAAAATTCTACAAAAAAAGAGGTTAATACTATACAACTTTCCCTTTAAAGTTAACTTATGACAGTGAGAGTCCTCCCGATAATGGTGCAAAAGGGGCAGACATTGGTAAAGCTTGTTTACAAACTGTGTAAAGCTTGTCTACAACACTGTGAAAGCTTGCTCTTACAACACTGTGTAAAGCTTGCTCTTACAACACTGTGAAAAGCTTGCTTTTTCAACATTTGTGAAAGTTGCTCTTACAACAGTGAAAAGCTTGCTTTACAACACTGTGAAAGCTTGCTCTTAAAACACTGTGAAAAGTTTGCTCTTAAAACTGTAAAGCTTGTTCCCCCCTTTAAATTTTTTAAAGTAGCTTTTCACTATACGTATTCTTTTAAATTTTTATTTTTTTTTTTTTTTTTTTTGGTGTGGGTGTGTGTGGGGGGGGGGGGGGGGGGGGAGTTTTAAGAGTTCCACACAAGTTATGAATAATTTTAGTTTAAAAAAAGTGCCTTCCCCCAAAACAAAATGCCTACAGGAAAATTAATAAAATAAACTGTAGGCTAAAAAATACAGCCTCTCCTCATTTAAATGACAATTTTGTTCCTATCACATCAAAAACGAATTCGTCAAAAAGGAGGACTATTAAGGTAGGGGTTTTTGTCAACTTTTTTGATATTGTTTAAAATGTCACCTTTGACCATTTATAACATTTTCTGGTTATTTTTAATGTTTATACAGATGATTTAAAATTTAAAATAAACAAAATAGAGGAAATCAGCTCTAAAATACATTTTTAGGTATGCTTATGGTCAGAGAGCCCTAGTAAGCCCGGTCTTTGGTAAACGAGTACGTCCTAAGTGGGGAAAGGGCTGTATTTACAGTGTTAAACCTAATAAATACAGTCTTCATTACAGTATGTTTATACCTTTAATATTTTTTTTTTTCAATACAGTTTAAAATTTTATGGACATTTACTTTTGTTCACAAAAAGAGTTTTTTTTCCCCTCATGGAATCGTTTTCATTTAATTCTTAGTTTTGTATAAATTTTGTGTGTTTGGGCCAAAGCTACTCAACAAAGGGAAAATAGGGAAATATAAAAAAAACAAACAATAACTAGAAAAGCTAAGAAAAAAAAAATGGGGGGAAATTTATCAGGGAAATATAGGTACTTTGTAAGGTAGTGGTGGCTTGGAACAGATACCCCTATAACAAATGAACGCCATAATGAACGGGTTTTCTAGAACCAATTACATTCGTTAGAGCACCCCCCAAAAGTACTATTAAAGTTTCTTCTTACTGTATGATCAACCCAAACCCAGCTAAACCCCCAAGTTACTCCCTTACGGTTTTTTTCCAAATTCTTAAATCTAGTAAAAAACAATCCTATGTGTCACTTCAAAAATTAATGAAAAACAAAGCAGAAACTTGGCTAATTTAGCACCACTAATGTCAAGAAAAGACTCGGGGCCTCACTCAAGCAAAAAACATTCAAAAAATAATAAGGAGTAAAAATTTTTTCATAAAATACTAAGATAGAAAGGGGGTTCCCCCCCAACTATGGGAAACCCCAAATTAACCCAAAAACTATGGCCCAAATATCTAACTTGCTTTGTTATTAAGGTTCAAACCTAATTCTAAACAATACTTTTCCCTATGCCCACAATATATTTAACCTTTGCTAGTTTGTTTCAGACCGGGAAAACTTCAGTTATAAAAATGTAAATTTAGTGAAGCAGTCCGAGGATATTAAATATACAAAGACCCCTAAAAAAAAATTTTGGAAAGATTTTTTTAATGTAGACAAATCCTGCATCAAAGCTAAAAAATTATGGGGGAACGAGGTATACTTTTGCATACTTCAAGTCAACCCTTTAAAAGCAGATCCCAAGGTTTTTAACTTACCTACAAAAAAGGGTGTCAGGCAGTGTTCTCACCCTTGCGATACAACAATATCCCCTCCCATTCATATCCAAATTCCTCAAAACAGCTAAGGGGGCTTAAAGATGTACTTTGGTGACTACCAAAAAACATTCTTAATATTTTCAGACCTACTGTTTGGGCAGAACTGCAAAATGTACAATAAATATGATTAATAATTCTCACATTTTAGAGACAAAAAAAAGGAAAAAATCTTGGTTAACCTTAAAATCAACTTGAGATTAACAAACCCTCCAGCAATAACCAAAAGTTTTTCCCAAAAAAGTAGGTCATTTCTAAGATACTTACTATGTACCTTAAACGCATTACTTTTTTTGTACTGTACTTTTTAATTATCTTTGCCCCACAATGGTATTTTATAACTGGGGGGTCTATAGTAAACACCCAAAAGGCAATAAAAAAGTGAACAAAAACAGTTGTATGAACAATCACCCAGGCTATGCTGGACAACACACCCACCCACTCTCTTCAAAGTTTTTCCATGGTGTAATAAAGGCTATAGGATAGCAAATTTGACTACAACAATTTGGTGGGGAAACCTGGAAAAAAAACCCTTCATAACCCGGGGAAAACCCCTTGTGTAATGCAAACATTTGTAAATCCTAAAGGTATACTATTATACGCACTGTGTTCAAAACCTTTCAAAAAGCAGGACACTCGGTAAAATTACAAAGACAAAGAAACTTGTATGAACATCTAAATACAGTAAACCTCAATTAACACCCAACAAAGGGGGTGTCCCAAATTAAAAAAATGAAAAATGTTAAAAAAAGAAAAAAGGACTTAGATTTTCAATACCTAATACAGTAGTGTAGACAAATTATAGTTATACTGCAATAAACATTGAAAATAAAGGATAGTGTCCATTGTATTAAGTATGTGTTGTACGAAGGAGTGTTATATGGAGAGTTTAGTGTAATAAAGACAAGATAGACACCAGCTTACCTGTCTCTTCTCTCCCTGGGTGCACCCCGGTCATCTTGTGAGGACCGCTGTGTTCCACCACTAGCTAAACCCAACAAGCGTTCCTGAAGACTATCAAATAAACACTATAAGGGTTAAGTTACATTATCTTGCACTTCATTATCTCTACTAATATTTAAAAAAATAGATCAATAGTGTACGGCCCCTTTCCTTAAAAGGAGTTCCGTTCCTAAAACCACACGGTAAAGAATTTGTCGTGAGTGGAGCCATACTATAATGGAGTGGGTTTGTGTCACCTCTTTAATTGCTTTAAAAGTCACCCCTGCAAAATTTTTTAAAATTTCTGGTATATGTTTAAAAAAATTTATACAGGGCTTTACTGTTATTGTAATAGTAATATGGGTAGAGAACCGACAAGGGTAAATTAAAAATGTGCAAAACTTGGGGTTTTTTACGGGAACTTTCGCCGCACGTGGGTTCATCAATCCTAAAAGGGGAACGGGGGAAGAACAGGAGGTTTGAGGTAACATCCCCCCCCTTGAGTCGTGTGGTCATCCTCAATCTTGTGGATGCCATTGACTCAAGGTGAGGGGCTGATTACTCAAACTTTCCCTTTTTTCCCCGTTGTCCTTTGTTGGATGAGAAGCCACTGGTGGCAAACTTTCCTCAATAAAAAATAACCCAAGGTTGCACATGTGTTAATTTTCATATTTAAAAAAGTAAACAATAGAGGAAATAGCTCTAATATACATTATTAGGTATGCATACGGTCAAGAGAGCATTAAATTGAGTCGTCATTTAAACAGTACACAGCTAAAGGAAAAAGAGGCTGTATTTAAATTCTTTGTTTCATCAGCATACATAAAAAAAAAATGTTACAATATAATGGGGTTGAGTGGCAGGGAAAAAAACGTTCTACTTCAGCCAAAATTGGATTGTGAAAGAATGAATTCCAAAAAACCCCACATAGGAAATGTAAATTACAACAATGTTTCACTCCGACTTGGACCATTAGCTAGTCACTATGTGCGGGTTATTTGTGTATTATTCCAGTCACATTATTGTGCCTTTCTTTAACAAATCAATTCGTATGTATGTGTGTGTGTCTGTGTGTACTCACCTAGTTGTGGTTGCAGGGGTCGAGTCATAGCTCCTGGCCTGTGTGCACACATGTATAGTTTTATGCACGAGTAACTAGAGGTAATAGCAGCATAAAAAAAGTATGTAACTATAAGCTTCACAGCACCCAACCCCACATTCCTCCATTCTTTGAATTACCTGTTTACTCTAACCACACAACACACATAACATACTATAAATTAAGATACTAATATAACATATATGTATTACAAAAAATGTAGCTGCTGCAGATGATGCTACAGCTGATGCTTGTAATGCACCAGCTGTAGTAGCTGCTGTCACTGCTACTACAGCTGGTGCCACTCCATTGCTGTTTCCATTGGTGGCTGCTGCTACTACAGCTGCCACTTCCCTGCAGCTACTGCCACTGGTGCTGCTGATACTGCAGCTACTGCCACCGGTGCTGCTGATACTGCCACCGGTGCTGCTGATACTGCAGCTATTGCCACTGTCATTACCGCAGCTGGTTCCACCGCTGTTGCTACCGCAGCTGGTTCCACTACCACTACTGCAGCTGGTTCCACTGCCACTATTACCACAACTGGTTCCACCACCGCTGCTGCTGCAGCAGCTGGTTCCACCACCGCTGCTGCTGCAGCAGCTGGTTCCACCACCGCTGCTGCTACAGCAGCTGGTTCCATTATTGCTGCTGCTACAGCAGCTGGTTCCACCACCGTTGCTGCTACCGCAGCTGGTTCCACCACCGCTGCTGCTACAGCAGCTGGTTCCACCACCATTGCTACAGCAGTTGGTTCCACCACCGCTGCTGCTACAGCAGCTGGTTCCACCACTCGCTCAGGCTGGCTACAGCTGCTGGTTTCCATCACCGCTGCTGCTACAGCAGCTGGTTCCATCACTGCTGCTGCTACAGCAGCTGGTTCCACCACCGTTGCTGCTACCGCAGCTGGTTCCACCACCGCTGCTGCTACAGCAGCTGGTTCCACCACCGTTGCTACCACAGTTGGTTCCACCACCGCTGCTGCTACAGCAGCTGGTTCCACCACTGCTGCTACTCACAGCTGGTTCCACCACTGCTGCTGCTACCGCAGCTGGTTTCAACACCGCTGCTACAGAAGCTGGTTCCACCACCGCTGCTGCTACAGCAGCTGGTTCCATCACCACTTATGTTACCACAGCTGGTTACACCACCACTGCTGCCACAGCTGGTTTCCACTGCTGCTGCTGTTACTGCAGCTGGTTCCACCGCCACTAGTGCTACTGCAGCTGGTTCCACCGCCACTGCTGTTACTGCAGCTGGTTCCACTGCCACTGCTGCTACTGCAGCTGGTTCCACTGCAGCCACCGCTACTGCAGCTGGTTCCACTGCCGCTGCTGCCGTACCGAATATCTGCCTTCCTGTGCCCACACAAAGCATCCAACGTGTTCTGAGTCAGTTTGGCTTTGCTTCTCGCCAAGTGAGCATTATCCTGTGCATTCATTCGAAGCATTTTGTAATAATCCATTTTTTTTGTGCTTGTTTATTGAGTGTGACTGCTACAGAAGCCACCACAGGGCCAAAGAAAGTTCCAAGTGCCAGCCCTTTGATAAAGAAGGCGAGAAACACTATAGAATTCAAGAAAGAAATTGTAGCAAAGGTCGAAAGTGGCGTACATGTGGTCGATCTTGCCAGGTTGTACGGGAAGTCTTCATCAATGATCAGTGCCTTCTTCAGTGATAAAGGACGTTTGCAAAGTGGAGTGAGTTGCAAAGTTTTGTGGAGAAATATCACCCTAACAAAGCTGTTGCAAGCCGTGTCTGCAACATATTCAATGACAATGCCATGTCGTATTTTAGGCATATCTTAGAAAGAGGTGCCAGAAACAGACCTCTCTGGACAGACTTTTTGTGCAACAGGGGTACAGTGCCAGTAAAAGACAGAAGGGAAGTAACCCCCGGATAGGTACTTGATACCTGAAGTACTTATGGAGGGGGATTCCCCTTGCAAACAACAACAACCGCCTCCTCCTCCTCCTCCTCCTCCCTCCTCCTCCTCCTTCTCCTTCCTCCTCCTCCTTCCTCCTCCTCCTCCTTCCTCCTCCTCCTTCCTCCTCCTCCTTCCTCCTCCTCCTTCCTCCTCCTCCTTCCTCCTCCTTCTCTCCTTCCTCCTCCTCCTTCCTCCTCCTCCTTCCTCCTCCCTCTCTCCTCCCTCTCTCCTCCTCGAGTCTTCCATACACCAACAAGTCTTCAATAAGAGTAAAAGTGATATTAAATGCTTATTTATCCATTTTGTTAGTCCTTTATATTTATTTCTCATTGTTTTCTGTATGTAAAACTATAGATATTCTCCATAAAATGTATTTTTTGTTAATACTTTTGGGTGTCTGGAACGGATTAATTGGATTTACATTATTTCTTATGGGAAATATTGCTTCAGTTTTCGTTGAATTTGGTTTTTGTCAGACTTTCTGGAACACATTAATTATGAAAACCGAGGTTCCACTGTATAATAATTTATTAAAAATGTACCACTATATAAAACTGTAAAAATGAATACAGTGGACCCGCAAATTTAGTGATTCTCACGTTTCGTGAATTTCGAGTATCGGCAACCTTTATCGTCAAAATATAGCATCAAGTTTCGTGATTTACCTCAAAATTTGAGTATGGAACACGTCCGAGTGACCTCCCAGCTGCCGCGCGCACACAAAAGTTCCCACACACCATTCACAGTCAGTGTGGCACTGTTTCTGGACGAGTGACCATCACCCTATGCGTTCATACAATACATTTTGTAATACAGTGTAATCCATTCCTTTCTGTGCTTGCAGCTGCTAAATAAGCCACCATGGGCCCCAAGAAAACTTCTAGTGCCAGCCCTTTGGTAAAGAAGGTGAGAAACAACAAAATTAACCCTTTGACTGTTTTGGTCGTATATATACGTCTTACGAGCCACCGTGTTTGACGTATATATACTCAAAGTCTAGCGGCTTCAAATCAAGCAGAAGAAAACTGGTAGGCCCACATGTGAGAGAATGGGCCTGTGTGGTGAGTGTGCACCACATAAAAAAATCCTGCAGCACACAGTGCATAATGAGAGAAAAAAAACTACGACCGTTTTAATTAAAATGCCAACTTTGTGGTCTATTTTCCTACAGTATTTATGGTTGTATTCTTGTTTTCTTGATCTCATTCGATAGAATGGAAACCATATTATAGAAATAGAGGTGATTTTGATTGATTTTACTATGAAAAGAGCCTGGAAATGGAGTTCAAAGTAGGGGAAATGTTTGATTTTTTCCGATGTTCAAAAGTATACAAATGATGTCATTGTCCAATAAATGTCCAACTAGCCATTCTAATATGCAGTCATGAATGGGTTGATGTTATTTATACAATTATTACAAAATTGCAGTAGTCTGCATAACAGTAAATCTTCTATTTTTTGTTTGAATAAAAATTCAAAATAAAAAGCAAGAGTACTATCAGAGGGGCCTGGAGATGTGTCTGCATTGTTCATTCTGGACCCTATTTTGAAATTGTCATATTTTTTAATTTTCATGAAATTGGCCAAATTGAAAATTTCTGACCACGTTATTGGGTAGTTGAAATCGGTATATGGGCAGTTTCTTGTAGTTGATCGATAGAAAAAATGGAGTTCTAAAGAAATAGCTATGAGTTTGGTCGACTCGAGCAATGGAATTAGCCGAAAATAGGGCTCAAAGTGGACGAAATCACGGATTTCAGGAGAGCGTAATTCCATTGGTTTTCCATTAAATTTTGTTTGTTTGGTGTCATTACAATCAGGAAAAGATTCTCTATCATTTATAAGAATATAAATATATATATATATATATATTTATATATATTTTATATATCTTTCTTTATACATATATATGTAAAGAAAACGATAATTTCTCCTTTAATTTATATATATATACAGAGAAGAGTTATATTTATTTTAGTTCCCTTAATATATGCTTAGAGATAATTTTATATTCCATAGATAAGAGATTAAACAAGAAAATAAACTA